ATGATATTGTTCTTCACTGCAAAGTCATTCTGTATAGAGCTGTTTTTTTTTAATTAGAAAAATCTGTATCCTATTTTGAAAAATTTAGATCATTCAATCGAGAAAAACGGTCATAATTATACAAATTTACAGCTCCACCGTTTTTAAAATGGAGGTTTAGAATTTTGTCACCTCATCATCCTGTATTTTATAAAATTTTATAACTTTTCTCAAAGTAAGCTTTCTTTTAATATCAGGTGTTTTGGGGTTTAACCTAAGAGTAAGTCCTAAAAAACTGTTAGAACAAATTTGATTTAAAAAAAAAAACTCATCTAAAAAACTTCGTAGAGATAAGTGTGAAAATGTTATAAAATACAGGGTGTTTCACTTCAAGAAATTAGAAAGATCCTGTATAATTAAGTTAAAGTACTTAAACATTTTATGCGGGACAATCAAAAGGTCTTAAAAACTTTCATATCTGAATTTTTCGATTGTTAATTTGGAAATTTGTCGATTTTATAATTTTCCCAGAATTTAAAATTATTAAGTTTTGAGATTTTGTAACTATAAAAGTTTTTTTAAGTTTTCAGTTTAAATTTTTCATTTTTCAAATTCTTGATTTTTAATTTTTCGATCTGAATTGAATTGAATAAACGAAAAACTGGACAATTGAAATAATGTGAAATTGAAAAATTACAAATCGAAAAACTGAAAAATAGAAAATGAAAAACACACGAGAAAATAAAAAAATACACGAAAAATTGAGATGCCTAAAAATTGAAAAATGGAAAATCAAAATTCGAGAAACTGAAAACAAAAGTTCTAACATTTAAAATAAAGAAACTGAAACATCGAAGAATTCAAGAAACTAAAAACTGAAAAATGGATAAATAAAAAATCTTAAAAATGGAAAAGCGAAAAAATAAAAATCAAAGTATGTATTGTGAAATCCAAAAATTAAATACACGAAACATTTAAATACCTAAATACCTAAAAATTGAAAAATAAAAAATTGTCGAGAAATTGAAAAACCGAAAAAATAAAGAAACTGTGAAATCGAACAGTAATTAAAGAAACTAAAAACTGAAAAATGAAAAATTGAAAAAGCGAAAAATTTAAATCCCTAAATACTTAAAAATTGAAAAATAAAAAATTAAAAATCGAGAAATTGAAAAGTCAAAGGATTGAAGAAGCTAAAAATTGAAAAATCGCAAAAATGAAAAATCCAAAACTCAAAATTATGAAAAAATAAAAGTAAAAATTTCGAAAAACTGAAAAGTCGAAAAAATGAAAAATCGGGAAACTGGAAACACAAAAACTTTAAAAAGCTAAATACATATTGAACAAACAAAAATCAGATAAATAAAACTTCGAAAATGGAAAAGCTGAAAAACTGACCACGAAAAATGGAAAATCAAAATTCGAGAAACTGAAAACACGAAAATTTGAAATGTTGAAGAATTGAAGAAACTAAAAACTGAAAAAGCGAAAAAATTTAAATCGAAGTATTGTGAAATCGAAAAAATGCAAATCCAAAAATGAAAAATGGAAAAACTAAATACACGAAACATTTAAATACCTAAATGCTTAAAAATTGAAAAGTAAAAAATCGTCGAGAAATTGAAAAACCGAAAAATTGAAGAGACTAAGAATTGAAAAATCGCAGAAATAAAAATCGAAAAATCGAAAAATGAAAAAATACAAATTTCGAGAAATTGAAAAATCGGAAAACTGAAAACACGAAAAATTTGAATGCCTAAATATTGAAAAATCAGGTTGGAAAATGGAAGATCAAAATTCCAGAAACCGAAAACACGAAATATTGAAATACCCAAAATCTGAAAAATCAAAAAAATTGTACTCGAGAAACCGAAAAATTTAAACTAAAAATAAAAAAATCCTAACATTAAAAAGAAAGAAACTATAAAATCGAACAATTAAAGAAACTAAAAACTGAAAAATGAAAAATTGAAATACCCAAAAACTGAAAAATAAAAAAAATTGTACTCGAAAAACCGAAAAATTTAAACTAAAAATAAAAAAATCGTAACACTAAAAATAAAGAAACTGTAAAATCGAACAATTAAAGAGACTGAAAATAGAAAAATTGAAAAAGCGAAAACTTTAAATCCCTAAATACTTAAAAATTGAAAAATAAAAAATCAAAAGTCGAGAAATGGAAAAATCAAAGAATTGAAGAAGCTGAAAATTGAAAAATCCAAAACTCAAAAGTATGAAAAAATAAAAGTAAAAATTTCGAGAAACTGAAAAGTCTGAAAAATGAAAAATCGGGAAATTGAAAACACAAAATTTAAAAAGCTAAATATTGAAAAACAAAAATCAGATAAATGAAAATTCGAAAATGGAAAAGCCGAAAAACTGACCACGAAAAATGGAAAATCAAAATTCGAGAAACTGAAAACACGAAAATTTGAGATATTGAAGAATTGAAGAAACTAAAAACTGAAAAAGCGAAAAAATTTAAATCGAAGTATTGTGAAATCGAAAAAATGCAAATCGAAAAATTCAAGAAATCATAAATCGAAAACTGAAAACACGAAAAATTTAAATACATAAATAGCTAAAAATTGAAAAATAAAATCAGAAATAAAAAAATTGAAGAAACTAAGAATTGAAAAATCGCAAAAATGAAAAATCGAGAAAATCGAAAATATGAAAACCTGAATTCTAAAAATTGAAAAATGGAGAAATTAAAAATTTGAGATACTGAAAGGTCGAAAAAATGAATAATCGGAAAACTGAAAACACCAAAAATTCGAATCCCAAAAAATTAAATAACCAAAAATAAAATAAACAAAAATTGGAAAATGGAAAAGCAAAATTGGAGAAACTGGAAACATGGAAATTTGGAATATCAAAAATTTGAAAAATTGAGGAATTGAAGAAACAAAAATGGAAAAATGAAAAATCGAAAAACAGAAAAAGCGAAAAAATAAAAATCGGAAAACTGAAAACACGAAAAATTTGCATACATACCTAAGTATTGTGAAATCGAAAAATCAAAAGTCGAGAAAATGAAAAATCGAAGGATTGAAACTAAGAATTGAAAAATCGCAGAAATAAAAAGCCAAAAATCGAAAATAAAATATTCTAAAAACTGAAAAGTCGAAAAAATTAAAAATCGGAAAACTGAAAATACGAAAAATTTGCATACATACGTAAATATTGAAAAAGTAAAAATCAAATCCAAAAAATTCGAAAATGGGGAAAGCCGAAAAACTGAAAACACGAGAAATTGAAAAAATGTAACATTTAAAATAAAGAAACTGAAAAATCGAAGAATTGAAGAAACTAAAAACTGAAAAATTGAAAAATTAAAAAGCGAAATTCTGAAAACACGAGAAATGTGAATCTAAAAATTGGAAAGTTAAAAAAAATAGTGAAAAATTGAAAAATTTAAAATCAACAAACTGAAAAATCGGAGAATTGAAGAAACTAAAAACTGAAAAATGGGAAAATTGATAAAAAGAAAAATTAAAAAACCGAAAAATCGAAAAAACAAATCGGTAAACTGAAAACACAAAATGTTTAAATATCTAAATATTGCAAAATCGAAAAATTAAAAATCCAGAAACCAAAAAACCAAAAATTAAAAATAGAGAACCTGAAAAATAATTGAGATATTTAAAACTTAAAAATGGAAAATTAGATTTCGGGAAAATGGAAACACGAAAAATTTAAATACTTAAATACCAAAAAAAAAAAGAAAAATAAAATTGCCAATTAATATGCACTAAACACGCGCACCCAATGTCTGTTTCGCCAGAAATGACACTAATTATGAGAATATAAACTTTTATGAACAGAGTGGTGCGAACACCATAAAAGTGATCCAAAGTCTCCATGTGAACTAAACATTAATTAAAAAAATGAGTCGTGTACACCCGGCCCATGTGGGTATAGAAATTTGTGCCCAGTCATGATGGTAAAGTCTGTTACTCCTAAACCGAATCCGTCTATGTTAATTAATAGTCACGGTGGTCAAAGATGTCAACTACTGTAATTATCATACATTAAGATTCCATAACTAAAACAGATGTGAATACAAAGAAATCTCATTTATTTAATCAGTGACTGGTCATTATTTGAATTAAAAATAAGCGTCTGGCTGAAAGTGATGCACTTGGTTTATCTTTTAATTTAATAGGTGTTAATTCGTTGGTATCTCATCCTGTATGCCTATTTTTCACCACAAAAGTTCCAAATTTACACAACTATTGCACTAACCCAAATCTGCTTATGCATCCTCTATAAAAAATGATGACGTAATCGCTAAATATCGTTAATGAAGCTCCTTGACTTTTGCCCACTGCCATTTTCAGCTTTACGTATGCAGATTATCTTAAAACAAATAAAGTCTGTGTGATTGAATTTCACCGGTTGTTTCGTAAATTACATAACAAACAATTCCACTATTTGTCAATCAAGATCCGCGTTTGTCTCAAAGCAAATTAAATCAGAAACTGAAATAGAAAAGGGTGGGTGGGCGGAGCTTGTGCAAATAGGCGGAGCATCAATCTTATTTTGATACATTGTGAAATTTAGTGATACAAACTGGGTTGTTTAAGAACAATACATACAAAGTTAAAAATACGAGTGGGTTATTAAATCACCGACATCAAAAAACGTGTCATATTATACATTCAAATGAGGTACATTTAATATTATTAAGATGACGTCATCAATTTCTTGGAGGAGACTAATAAATAACGTAAAACCCGACTCACCCACTTACCACAGCACGTCCAAAATAAGAAGTGTCGCTAGCATGAAATATGAATGTGCAGTTGTTGCATTGTAATTTAACTCGTGACAATGCTATCAAGATTTTATTTCCAGTTATGAAGGTGATTAGACAAAACAAGAAGATAAAAATCATGATGATTTTATAAAATGTAATGACAAAAACAAAAACTAACTTTTGGCTGTGGCTTCATATTACTTATCATTAAAGTGTATATTGGAATTAATTGTACATAATTTGATTTTTCTTTTTACAGGGTCTAACCTGGCCCGCGATGTACGCCCTCGTCGGCCATTGGATCCCCGTCCCGGAGCGCAGCCGCTTCATGTCGAGTTTCCAAGGTAACCCACCCTAAGCCCCTCCTCTAATAGCCCCGCCCACTACGCACTATGTCGTAGGTTTCAGCATCGGCATCGGCGTAACTTACCCCTTGTGCGGTTTCCTGATTGCCCATCTCGGTTGGAGATCCGTCTTCTACACCACGGGTTCCATTGGGGTCCTGTGGTGTGGAATATGGTATCTGTTGGCTTTCGACAGCCCGGAAATGCATCCACGGATAAGTTTGCGCGAACAGCAGTACATCAAAGAGAACACGGTTAATACATATGCTGCCACTAGAAAACAAAGAGTGCCATGGAAGGCCATTTTGACGTCACCGCATGCCTGGTCAATCGGAGTTACCACGTTTGGGAGGATTTGGGTGCATTATACGTTCATTATACCGGGGCCGAAGTATATGAAGAGTATTTTGGGATTTAGTATCGAGAAGGTGAGTGCGTTTCATGGTAAAAAAATGGGTAAAAACGCACTTTTTTATTATTACTATTATTTTTTTACTATAAACTTGAAAATATTGCAAGGTTTTCCAAGTCGCGAACCAGGTTTGACACACAGCCGGTTATGGTTTTTTCTAATATATGTAGTACTCGTTTTTGGGATGCATTTTTATTAAGACACGGAAATGGTTGCTAGTAGTTTTGAGGTGTCTCAAATTAAAGTCGTTTTCAAATTTTATGAAGTTCATTGTAGGCTTGTCGAACGCTATTTGGGCAATTCCTGCTTGCTAGTTTTAGGTAAATTAATCCACAATTGTACGAACACAGTCTGACTTAACCAGCCTAAGCGTGCAGGGCGTCCTGAATATCCACGAACTAGGTTTTATACAAGAAATACGTTCTGAAGGAGTCGCATGTACATAAAATTGTTAAATAAATAACTGAATTGAATTTACAAACTTACGCTTTCTATTCAAAAAGTATCTAAATCACAATTTGAAGTTAATCTTTTATCTCTTATGAAATTAATCAATAATTTATTATCAGGTATAATATTAATTTTACCAGCTGGCATTTAACGTAACATTTATGACGCAAATCCAACTTTCTGCGTGGGTATTATTCAACAAACATTTGTTGAGAAATCTTTTCTGCCTACTGTCATTTTAACTAAGTCAGCACCGTTTTACGTACATTTTGGTACAATTTTTTTGGTAAAATAGCGAAAACTGGATTTTTTCAGAAAGACAGTGTCACATTGTCTGCACGTGTAGTATAGCAACTATGACCCCTCCCTTTTTAGAAATTTTGTAACTATTTGCTTTTTCCAGAACGGCCTCCTCTCCGGCGCCCCCTTCATCTGCAGTTACATCGCGTCAGTATTCTTCTGCTACATCGCCGACAAGTTGGTCACGAAAAACATCATGTCATTGACGAACGTTCGAAAACTGATGACGGCGCTATGTAAGTAGAAACACGTTGACGCTGCGAAAACTCGTGTGATTTTCGTATAGTACATATTAAAAACTTCCTGAATTTGTATAACGTACCCCTGGACTTGGGTTTAGCAATTATCATGCATTTTTTTTTCTTACTTAGTTATTTTCTACTTAATCTACACAGTATTCTTTGAACTACACGATACTTAAAAACATGTTTTACATGAACTTTCTTGTAGAAGAATAAGGATTTTATGTTCCACCCCCTTGGTTCACGATGAATAAAAAAAATCATCACAATTGAGATAGGGTGGGTGGGCGGGGTACATATTTTTCCTTTTTCTTAATATACGTTGAAAACACGCAGAATTGCACATCGAAAAATCGAGGTACAAATAAAAAATGAAAAACAGAAAAATTTGGAAGTCGAGAAATTGAAAAAACAAAAAATTGTGAAATGGAAACACTCAAAAATGGAAAAATTGTAAAAATAAAGAAAATGAAAAACCGAAACGAAAAATTGCAAAATTTGAAGAAATGAAAAATTAAAGAAAATAAAAAACATTGGTAAACTAAGAACCAACAAATTTAAAAATGGAAAAAGAAATTGTGAATCGAAAATTTGGAAAACCCAAAAATTGAAAAATTTCACAAAGAAGAAAAGAAAAATTATAAACTCAGTGAAACTGCTAATCACAAAATTGCAAAATCTAAAATCAAAAATTGAAAATCTAGAAATTGAAAATCGAAAACTCGACAAATAAAAAAAACAAAGATTTGAAATCGAAAAATCAAAATTTGAGAAATCCAAGAGTTAAAAATTGGCAAGCTTAAAACTGAAGAATGGAAAAATTGAAAAATCGAAAATTCGAGAATTCCCAAAATTTATAATTCCGAGAAATCAAAAAATCGAAAATTTAGGAATGCCAAAAATTGATTGAAAATCGTAAAACTGAAAAATTCCAAAATCAAAATTCGAGAATTCCCAAAATTGTACTGTAAAAAATTGAAAAATCGAGAAATCGAAAAGTAAAGAAAATTAAAATTGAAAAGATCGAAAAATCGAAAAATTGGAAAAACAGAAAAATTTGGAAGTCGAGAAATTGAAAAAACAAAAAATTGTGAAATGGAAACACTCAAAAATGGAAAAATTGTAAAATTAAAGGAAACAAAAAACCGAAACGGAAAATTGCAAATCCATAATTCGAAAAAATGAAAAATTAAAGAAAATAAACATCGGAAAACTAAAACCGAGAAACTCAAAAATCGAAAAATTGGAAAACCCAAAAATTGAAAAATTTCACAATGAAAAAATATAGAAAATAAAAAACCGAAACGAAAAATTGAAGAACTGTAAAACAGAAAAATCGAAAAATTAAAAACTCGGTGAAACTGCATTAAAAAATTGCGAAGTCTAAAATTAACATCCAAAAATTAGAAAATCAAAAAACTGAAAAATTTTGAAATGGAAATACTCAAAAATGGAAAAATTGTTAAAATAAAGAAAATAAAAAACCGAAACGAAAAATTGCAAAATTTGAAGAAATGAAAAATTAAAGAAAATAAAAACCATTGGAAAACTAAAAACCAACAAACTTAAAAATGGAAAAAAAATGTGGATCGAAAATTTGGAAAACCCAAAAATTGAAAAATTTCACAATGAAAAAAAGAAAAATTATAAAATAAGAACAGAAAAATTGGAAATCGAAAAACCTCAAAATCGAAAAATTAAAAACTCTGTGAAACTGCTAATCAAAAAATTGCAAAATCTAAAATCAAAAATTGAAAATCTAGATATTGAAAATCGAAAACTGAACAAATAAAAAAAACAAAGATTTGAAATCGAAAAATCAAATCAAATCAAAGAAATCCAAGAGTTAAAAATTGGCAAGCTTAAAACTGAAGAATGGAAAAATTGAAAAATCGAAAATTCAAGAATTCCCAAAAATTGATCGAAAATCGTAAAACTGAAAAATTCGATAATCAAAATTCGAGAATTCCCAAAATTGTGCAGTAAAAAATTGTAAAAATTGGAAAAACAGAAAAATTTGGAAGTCGAGAAATTGAAAAAACAAAAAAATTGTAATTGAAAAGATCGAAAAATCGAAAAATTGGAAAAACAGAAAAATTTGGAAGTTGAGAAATTGAAAAAACAAAAAAATTGTAACATGAGAACACTCAAAAATGGAAAAATTGTAAAAATAAAGAAAACAAAAAACCGAAACGAAAAATTGCAAATCCAAAATTCGAAGAAATGAAAAATTAAAGAAAATAAACATCGGAAAACTAAAAACCGAGAAACTCAAAAATCGAAAAATTGGAAAACCCAAAAATTGAAAAATTTCACAATGAAAAAATATAGAAAATAAAAAATCGAAACGAAAAATTGAAGACCTGTAAAACTGAAAAATCGAAAAATTAAAAACTCGGTGAAACTGCAAAATTAAAAAATTGCGAAGTCTAAAATTAACATCCAAAAATTAGAAAATCAAAAAACTGAAAAATTTTGAAATGGAAACACTCAAAAATGGAAAAATTGTAAAAATAAAGAAAATAAAAAACCGAAACGAAAAATTGCAAAATTTGAAGAAATGAAAAATTAAAGAAAATAAAAAACATTGGAAAACTAAAAACCAACAAACTTAAAAATGGAAAAAAAATGTGAATCGAAAATTTGGAAAACCCAAAAATTGAAAAATTTCACAATGAAAAAAAGAAAAATTATAAAATAAGGGCAGAAAAATTGGAAATCGAAAAACCTCAAAATCGAAAAATTAAAAACTCAGTGAAACTGCTAATCAAAAAATTGCAAAATCTAAAATCAAAAATTGAAAATTTAGAAATTGAAAATCGAAAACTGAACAAATAAAAAAAACAAAGATTTGAAATCGAAAAATCAAATCAAAGAAATCCAAGAGTTAAAAATTGGCAAGCTTAAAACTGAAGAATGGAAAAATTGAAAAATTGAAAAATCGAAAATTCGAGAATTCCCAAAATTTGTAATTCCGAGAAATCAAAAAATCGAAAATTTAGAAATGCCAAAAATTGATTGAAAATCGCAAAACTGAAAAATTCGATAATCAAAATTCGAGAATTCCCAAAATTGTACAGTAAAAAATTGAACAATTGGAAAAACAGAAAAATTTGGAAGTCGAGAAATTGAAAAAACAAAAAAATTGTAACATGGGAACTCTCAAAAATGGAAAAGTTGTAAAAATAAAGAAAACAAAAAACCGAAACGAAAAATTGCAAATCCAAAATTCGAAGAAATGAAAAATTAAAGAATGTAAACATCGGAAAACTAAAAACCGAGAAACTCAAAAATCGAAAAATTGGAAAACCCAAAAATTGAAAAATTTCACAATGAAAAAATATAGACAATAAAAAACCGAAACGAAAAATTGAACTGTAAAACAGAAAAATCGAAAAATTAAAAACTCGGTGAAACTGCAAAATTAAAAAATTGCAAATTCTTAAGTTAGTATCCAAAAATTAGAAAATCAAAAAACTGAAAGATTTTGAAATGAAAACTCAAAAGATTTGCACATCGTAAAATCGAGGAACAAATAAAAAATGAAAAACAGAAAAATCTGGAAGTCGAGAAGTTGAAAAAACAAAAAATTGTGAAATGGAAACACTCAAAAATGGGACAATTAAGGAAAATAAAAAACATTGGAAAACTAAAAACCAACAAACTTAAAAATGGAAAAAAAAATGTGAATCGAAAATTTGGAAAACCCAAAAATTGAAAAATTTCACAATGAAAAAAAGAAAAATTATAAAATAAGAACAGAAAAATTGGAAATCGAAAAACCTCAAAATCGAAAAATTAAAACCTCAGTGAAACTGCTAATCAAAAAATTGCAAGATCTAAAATCAAAATTTGAGAAATCCAAGAGTTAAAAATTGGCAAGCTTAAAACTGAAGAATGGAAAAATTGAAAAATCGAAAATTCGAGAATTCCCAAAATTTATAATTCCGAGAAATCAAAAAATCGAAAATTTAGAAATGTCAAAAATTTATTGAAAATCGTAAAACTGAAAAATTCGAAAATCAAAATTCGAGAATTCCCAAAATTGTACAGTAAAAAAATTGAAAAATCGAGAAATCGAAAAGTAAAGAAAATTAAAATTGAAAAGATCGAAAAATTGGAAAAACAAAAATTTGGAAGTCGAGAAATTGAAAAAACAAAAAATTGTGAAATGGAAACACTCAAAAATGGAAAAATTGTAAAATTAAAGAAAAAAAAACGAAACGGAAAATTGCAAATCCAAAATTCGAAGAAATGAAAAATTAAAGAAAATAAATATCGGAAAACTAAAACCGAGAAACTCAAAAATCGAAAAATTGGAAAACCCAAAAATTGAAAAATTTCACAATGAAAAAATATAGACAATAAAAAACCGAAACGAAAAATTGAACTGTAAAACAGAAAAATCGAAAAATTAAAAACTCGGTGAAACTGCAAAATTAAAAAATTGCAAATTCTTAAGTTAGTATCCAAAAATTAGAAAATCAAAAAACTGAAAGATTTTGAAATGAAAACTCAAAAGATTTGCACATCGTAAAATCGAGGAACAAATAAAAAATGAAAAACAGAAAAATCTGGAAGTCGAGAAGTTGAAAAAACAAAAAATTGTGAAATGGAAACACTCAAAAATGGGACAATTAAGGAAAATAAAAAACATTGGAAAACTAAAAACCAACAAACTTAAAAATGGAAAAAAAAATGTGAATCGAAAATTTGGAAAACCCAAAAATTGAAAAATTTCACAATGAAAAAAAGAAAAATTATAAAATAAGAACAGAAAAATTGGAAATCGAAAAACCTCAAAATCGAAAAATTAAAACCTCAGTGAAACTGCTAATCAAAAAATTGCAAGATCTAAAATCAAAATTTGAGAAATCCAAGAGTTAAAAATTGGCAAGCTTAAAACTGAAGAATGGAAAAATTGAAAAATCGAAAATTCGAGAATTCCCAAAATTTATAATTCCGAGAAATCAAAAAATCGAAAATTTAGAAAT